CCATGAAGGCAGGAATTTTGGTATGTTTTATTCACTACTGCTCTCTCCAGAGCCGAGAACATGTCTGGCACATAGTAGACATCAATAAAATATCTGTTGAATGTATGATTGAATCAATGATGTATTTTGTTCTTCAGCTATCTAAGAAAAAAATGTTGCAGAGCACTGTGTGTGAAAATATCAGAAAGTGAAAAAACCCAAGTCAACCTCAATGTATTGAACATTTATGTTTTAAAACATCATGGAAGTTTCTTTTATAATGCCCATAATCTATATGAGTTAGGACATTTGATATTACATGGAAATTATATATATACATATATGTATATGTAACAGGTCTCCCAAAAGTAGGCAATAGCTAACCAAATTTGACAATAATGGAATCTCAAAAGATGAATCTGTTAATAACCTGTTAGTAAGCTTGGCATAAATTTTAGAAACCTAGAGCTCTGGGTTATACAAGTAATTCAGGTGACAGTACATACAGAATTCTAACATGGTATTTCTTCAAAGAATATTTACTAAATGTCTTTATGACACTAGTAATAATACGGTCCTTATCACTGAGGATGGACAGAAGTATGATTACATAGTGTGCCAGATACTATTGCTGAAGTGGCTAAAGAAACACAGTTTGGGAATAGCTAAACTGAGATGGCCAAAGGCATAAAATAACTCCCATAACAAGCTGACAATCTGTGGCTTCAAGGACAACAGATTATACAGGTAAAGAAGAAAAGAAAGGAATTTCTAAGAGCACATACAAAAGCATGACTATAGAGCACAAGTTAAAGGAACTACAAGAACTAGCTTGGTGAAGCCGCATACAGCAAATGCAACAGATGAGGCTGATGAGACATGAAGAGGCTGGAACATCAGTAACTCGTTTGATTCCAACATATAACTAGGTAGACTTTTACTTGTAGAGAACGAATATATTATAGTATAGCAATATAAAACTGAAGTGTAAGCACTCAGGCTTATGAAAAACTTTCAAGGTAATCACGACTAGCAGCTAATTGAGTGTTTGATATTCATTCACTATGTGTTAATTTAACTGTATGATTAGCTGCTTACTACTGCTTGTTAGCAATGACTCAAGTGGGTACCAAAAATATAAGCTTGTTGGAGAAAAATCCTTAAAACTGAGAGAATTCTATTAATTCATTTTCTAGTAAATTGGCAAAGGACCATATTATTTGATTCTAAGGAGTGGAAATATTTGATTCAGAATACCGTTGTGTAGCAGGAAGACAGAATGAAAGACTCAGTGATTTAGAGCTATGTTACAGAAAATTTCTTTCAGATATCAAAGTCACAGAATAATAACAAAGTCATAGGAAATGTAGGAAGAGGCTACTTAACTAGCAGTCTTGGCTATCTAGGAAACAAGGAAACAGGAAGCAGGCAAAACTTCTGCTAACCAACAAGAGAATGCGAAGCTCTCGTATTTATTCATAGGTAAAGTTTCAACGTCTTCACTCAAAGTCTTTGCTCTTGTTATAATTTTAACAAACAAGGTACAGTATGTTAACAATACAAAATGGATGAGGGTGATAGGGATGGGAGTAAGATGTTATATTATGATTCACTGACGAGAAATTTAAGGTGACAGCTTTACTTAAGAGAGAGAAAAACTGTATACAGCAAACATGGGAACACAAAGTCTAGCAGTCCAAGGCATTTAGCTGGGTGGGGAGTAAAGGCATCTACCTAAACAGCTGTGCACACCTTTAAGCAGCCCTGAAAACATCACTAAATCAAAGTACCATGTCATTAATATCATCAATGATAGCCCCGAGTCATCTAGAAAATGTAACTTATGTTTAATGAACTCTTTTTTTAGAAGGCAGGGAAGCATGTAATACATTTTGGAAAAATCCATCAAAATAGTTAAAACAAAAAGCATGAATGCTTAAAACGGTAGGCTTTGGTAAATAATCTCAAAACCTCATGTTTCATTTTTCCATTGTCATTCCCACATTTTAAATTTGTCAAGGCCTGAAAACAATGTAGCTTTTAATGTGTTTCTTTTATACTTAAAGTAGCCTAATCATTCTATAGAGTTTTATCCTCTTAAAATAAATCACTGGATAGCTCAGAGGTTACCTTGAAAACTGTGGATAAAAAATGTGGATGAACTTTGGGTTTATAAACTGAAATAAAATGCAAATTTTTGTGCCTACATTTGTATGTGCAGTCTCTAGAAGTAGGGGGTCCATAGCTTTTTTTTTTTTGAGGCAGAATCTCATTATGTCGCCCTTGGCAGAGTGCTGTGGTATCACAGCAACCTCAAATTCTTGGGCCTAAGCGATTTCCCTGCTTCAGTCTCCCAGGTAGCTGGGACTACAGGTGCCCACTACAAGGCCCAACTATTTTTTGGCTGCAGTTGTCATTATTGTTCAGCATGCCCAGGCTGGGCTTGAACTCGCGAGTCTTGGTGTATGTGGCTGATGCCCTACTTATTGAACTATGGGTACCACCTGCTACCTAATTCTTAAAGATTATAAACCAAAAGAGACTTCAGAATATTGGGTTAGATTTAAAAATGCCTAAAATGAGAAAAAATAACTCATTTATTCATAGAGAATGACTAACCTATTTTAAATTTAATTAAAATCTACTGTTATTGTAATTAGCACCCATGCTATATATGGGTGAGAATATTTATATGATATTCAGTGTAAGGTATAATTTCTAAAACACTCAAAATATGCTTAGCTTAAAAAAATCCTGTTTGGAAGGGCAAGTACATAACCTATTATCTTAAGTTATTTAAATTTGTATATGCCATAACAAGGTATCTATGTGCCTAAAAATTTAATGCATTTGGTTTCTTATCTCTTACTAACATATTTGGACACATGTACTCATTCTGGCTAAGCTGTGCCCAATGAAGAATTATTAAATAAAATTTTTTTCCTATCACTGTACTATTCAAGAATGTTCACTGAAACTCTCTACTTAACATGTGTCTATACATTCTGACGAAAGAACCCTATGTCTGCTATTTATGTTATCTTTCCAGAATTTCTCTGCTGAAAAGTTTTCTTAACCGATCTTTACGCAATATATGTGAAGGCTCTCCATCTCTTCTGTAACACATATTGCAAGAGGTTCAGGGGATGCTGAATGCTTGTAGTTGCTAGGATACTCTCTAGTAAGCCTGTACCCTTCTGCTTCAACTGGTTAGGGTGTTTTGCTTATCAAGTCTGTTGGATTTGTTCCCACATGATAGTTTTCTATGTTGTGATTATAATTTACTTAAATATTATGTAAAGACAAAATAAATGCCCCCTACCAAGAAGTTTATTACTTATTTATTTATTTTGAGACAGAGCCTCAAGCTATCACCCTGGGTAGAGTGCCATGGCTTCACTGCTCACAGCAACCTCCAACTCCTGGGCTCAAATGAGTCTCCTGCCTCGGCCTCCCAAGTAGCTGGGACCACAGGCGCCCACCACAACGCCTGGCTATTTTTTGGTTGCAGCCATCGTTGTTGTTTGGTGGGCCTGCGCTGGATTCAAACCTGCCACCTTAGGTGTATGTGGCTGGCGCCTTAGCCACTTGAGCCACAGGCACCAAGCCAAGAAGTTTATTATTTATTTAAAAATTAGGCAAATGCTTTAAAAAGCTTCCAAGAAGGAGACTCATAGGCAAACAAAGAAAGCTGACTTATGTGGAGGTGAGACAGCTGGAAAAGACTAACCTAAAAATCTAAAAGGATTCTGTACTTGCAATTTTCTAAGTTCTAGATTCACTTTGGAAAAATCACATAAAAACTGTATACATGTATGTATTATGGGTATATTTACACAAGAAAGACAAAAGAGGAAATCCGATCTGTAGCTCTGTATCAAAAGACTGGTAAACAAACACTTAAATATTTAAGATATGTATGCATATACTTTTGTCTATTTTTAATAATTCTTACTTTGACTTTTTTGGTTAGGTGAATGCTTTTGATCAAGGAATTCTACTGTGTGTGATCCAGATGCTAAATTCTTCTTGCTAAATATCAGAAGTTAATGGCTTTCTGTAGATAATGCTTACCCTAAGTAATAAACTTAAAAGGAGGACAATTTAAGCACTGTGCCAATCTACTGAAGGACAAATTTTGCCTCTCTGGAGCTCTCAAATCACATTGTAAGAAGATGATTTTCTTTAAGCAAATGGCCCATTTGTGAAGGCAATAGTGTTTTCTCAAGAGGCAAATTAGTAAATATTTCCTCTTGGGGCAGGGGGGTTACCTTGGCCAACAGCCTAGAATGAATCTGATAATTTTATAGGGAACACAATCTGTAGTATGACTGTGGGAATTTTTTTTTTTTTGAGACAGAGCTTCAAGCTGTCACCCTGGGTAGAGTGCTATGGAATCACAGCTCACAGCAACCTCTAACTCCTGGGCTCAAGCGAGTCTCTTGCCTCAGCCTCCCAAGTAGCTGGGACCACAGGAGCCTACCACAACACCTGGCTGTTTTTTGGCTGCAGCCATCATTGTTGTTTGGCAGGCCCAGGCTGGATTCGAACCCACTACCTTACACTGTGGCTGGCGCCTTAGCCACTTGAGCCACAGGTGCCGAGCCAACTGTGGGAATTTTTGGCTGATATTTTCCAGCAAACCTTGGAAATATTCTCATTAGGTAATAAATCTTAATAATTTGGCTCTGAGAGTTAAAAAACTTATAACTTCTAATTTCCAAGTTTTACTGTTGCTTCTTATATACTGATTGTAATAGCAGGGATTTACCATGGATCTTTAGAAAACAGAGCTTACAAAGAAACACTATTTTTAGCAACACAAGAAATGTGAGAAAAATGTTACTTACACAGTGTAACTTGTTAAATATTTATTTCACTTTTAGTGTGTATGCATCACTATGAGAAACTATAAACTATAGTTATATTAGTGAAGGGATTCACTAGGGTCACATTAAGCAGCAAAAAGGAAATCTTCACCAAGTACTAAGAACAACCCCACAGTGAAGCATAAACACAACTACCTGGCTGTTTGTGGTAGGTTAGCTCTCTGCTTGTTAAGCAGAACCATCGTTTCTTGAAATTCTTTTTTCCAATCCGAGTTCTTCCCTGAGCTCTTTTATACATCTCACTGTCAAAATAACAGATGAAAACAGTTAGCTGCACAAATTAAAATAGGTAATCAAAAACAAAGAATTGCCCTTTTATTTTAAATTACATGAACAGTTGTGAGATTACATTAAATATATGAAAATGTCTTTGCCATTTATATTTGCCATCCTAAGGATATAAAAGTCTTAGTTTAATATTCTTATTTGTGCTATACAGAACAAACAAGGGCCAAATGAGTGATTCCTTCTCTTAACGTCCAATAATAACTACTCTAAGAACAAAGAGTTCTATTACTTTTTCAAAGTACTCCAATACCCACAATCTCACTTATAGTTGTAAAACAACTCTGGGACTATACAGACAGGGAGTCATGCCTTTCTGACATAAAGTTTGTAGGACAGTGAGGGTGACTTACCTGACTGATGTCTTAGGCAGTTCTAGCACAGAACACAAACCCAGATCTCCTCACTTTCAGACTCATGCTTTTTGTACTTAATATCTATACTGAAACATGACTTTCATGTCTAATTTCATTAAATTACCCTTCTTTCAGGTGCACAGGCTCACTCGTACCACTTGACTCTTTAGTTTCAGTAGATGAAATTTCATCCAAGAACTAAATGGGGAAATGGGCAAATATTACACTGTGTGATATGATACATAATAAAAAATTCAGTTTATCGTACATGTCACTGATTGTATTGTGAAGTTCTTCATTATTAAATAATAGACATAATACTACTTAACAAAACCCACATATTTAATTGGAGAGAAGACCCCTATTTACAAATGACAGATGTTCTAAAAAGTTTCTTCTTAAGTTATTTAAAACCCAGAATATATTTCCCTGTAGAAATAATTCAAACCATAATTCCTTAACTGCCATTCTGAAATATATAATGCTCTGAATATAAAGAATTTTTTTGTCTTTTATTCATAGTAACTTCATTGGGGGGGTATAACTTAACCTGAAGTGGTGTATGGCTATTTATAGTCTGAACTTAGTGTGAATAGTCACATAATATGCTACACAAAAATTAATGTATTTGATTATGGGCTACTTAATACCCTAGGGGCTATTACATATAATAAATACTAATTACCTTTTGAGACTCTGAAAAACTAAATTCTGCAATATTTCTGATCCCAAATCTTTCAAATATAGGATTATTAACCTTTACTGTAGGTAAAGGATCACCAAACTGTGGTCCAGCAGGCCTAATTTGATGTGCAGCCTGTTTTGGTAAGAATACAGGTTCAGCATCCTAAATCCAAAAATCTCAAATGCTCCAAAATCCAAAACTTTCTGAGTACCAACATAACATTCAAAGGAAACGCTCACTGGATGGATACTGGAAGTGTTTTGCACTTGATCTTAGCCAAAAGGCTGAGAAACGACATTGGAGTGTCTTGAATTTCAGATTTTCATATTAGGGATTTTCAACTGAGGCCGGGCATGGTGACTCACACCTGTAATCTTAGCACTCTGGGAGGCTGAGGCAGGTGGCTCACTTGAGCTTATGAGTTCAAGACTAGCCAGAGCAAGAGTGAGATCTTGTCTCTACTAAAATTGAGAAACTGAGGCAAGAGAATCTCTTGAGCCCAAGAGTTTGAGTTTGCTCTGAGCTATGACGCCATAGCACTCTAACAAGGGTGACAATGTGAGACTCTGTCTCAAAAAAAAAAAAAAAAGGATGTTCAACTGCTAAGTACATATACCTATATAATGAGAATATTCCAGAATTTTGAAAAAACCTGAACTCTAAAACACTTCTGGTCCCAATCATTTTGGACAAGGGATACTCAATCTGTAGTTGTTACATTTTTAAGGGTTACAAAAATAAAGAACATGTGGCAGAGACCTTATGTGACCAGCAAAAGCCTAAAATATTTTCTCACTGGCCTTTTATAGAATTTGCTAACTTCTATTCCGTGTAACTGATTTTAGCCCTGTATTTCACAGTTATGAAGTGTGAATGGGTTCTACCTGGAAATCAAATTACCATTTATAAACTTTCTATGGAGAATGTGGGAATGTGGTGGCTCAATAAAATTTGGAATATACACCTTTAGCAATGACATTCATCCAAAGAAGAGCATTTTACTTCATAAATATGCTGCCTTGGCTGGGCATGGTGGCTCACACCTGTAATCCCAGTACTTTGGGAGGCTGAGGCAGGAGGATCACATGAGCCCAGGAGTTCAAGACCAGTCTGAGCAACATAGCAAGACCTAGTTTCTACCAGGGGAAAAAAAAAAAAAACCCCAAAAAAAAACAGAAAAGAAAAAGAAAAGCTGCCTTGACTTCCTAGCTTCCTAGCAAAGGGAAATTCACAGTTCAAGGAATAATTCTTGTTCTTAGTGAAGAATCCTATTTTGTCCCCTAAATGAACTCATCCATTTGTTTAGTTCATTAGCTGGATATTACAAACTCAGAGAAGGTCTGCATTTCCTTTCTTTTTCCTTTATACTTTTCTATGTTGTTCTGCTTAGGACTTAAAAACAAAGCACATTTCAGTAAGCATGATATTGAGGCGCCAGTGACTAATCTAAAGTAGAACATGTAAGGACAATTCCGTGAGACTGGCTATAAGTTGCCCATAGTTGTAGGGCTTCCAAATGGAATGTTTACTTCCAGTATCCTGGAAGGAAATCTTGGTAAGTAAAAAAACAAGAACAAAGTGCCTTTGGCATTATATGTGGGTGATACAAGTACAAGTATCTAAGCTAAGGGAACTAAAACAATGTCCTACCACATCCTTCATTTCTTACAGATGCACTATCCACTAATGGAAAGTAACAGAGTTATTTGAATATTTCATATCTCAGTATTTATCAGAAGTCATTAACGGATTTAACAAATATTATAAATTTATAATTATTTACTATAATTTAAGGCACTATGTGATAAATATAGGTATGTAAAATAAAAGAAAATAATTAAGATGGACTATAGACAAAGTGAGTACAGGTCCCAGTTTGCTGACAACCATCCCTGTTAGGACTAACCCTGTTGTCCCACAATAGTCACAAAGAATACTTCTTTTCACTCTTAAAAGTGTCCTACTTTCGACACTAAATTATATGGTCACTGTATTTACTGAACTATTAAGGTTATGCTTCCTAAAGTCTGTGGGAACAGTATACATTTCAGAGTTATAACTATTTTCTTCTGGAACAATGGTCATTGTTACTAGTGAGAGTGTCGATATAAAATGAGAAATGTGGCTTCTTGAGTTTTTACAATTTCTAGCACTGCATATATCCAGATTTAACTAGTAAAAAATAAATAAAACTAGGTACTGTGGATTAGGGCAAAATATCCCATGCCAGCTTAGGAGTCTAGAATGAAATCTGAGACAGGAGGTGTACTATGGTGACAGTCCGTTAGAATGTGAGTGGGTGACTCAGGGTAGATCAGGAACAGACTAAAGTTCTGGCACTCTTAAATCCTTTTTCTACTGACATTATCAACTCTACACATTCTATCAGGGGAAAATAAAATCAGATGCTACCATAGCCTAGGTCATAAAACATGGAAAAAAAGAATCCCCAAGGACCTCATAATCTTGCCAACAAAGTCTGCCTATACTGTCCCACAAATGTTTCAACAATGTCCTAAAAGTAAAAGGGCAGCTTTCTCTTTGCCTATTCTTTTGAAAGACTTTTCTCCTCATGAACCTTTAAAGGTTGCCTTAAAACATTTTAATTGAAAGTACAAGATTTTAAAAATTCCAATGAACTTTAATTTTTAAAATCATCATATTCATTGAATCCCTATAAGAATCTTAAAAAGTATTTTTTAAAAAGTCCAAACATATACATTAACAAAATAGTATGTTCTTTTTTTGAGACAGAGCCTCAAGCTGTCCCCCTGGGTAGAGTGCCGTGGCATTACAGCTCACAGCAACCTCCAACTCCTGGGCTCCAGCTAGTCTCCTGCCTCAGCCTCCCAAGTAGCTGGGACCACAGGCGCCCGCCACAACGTCCGGCTATTTTTTGGTTGCAGCCGTCATTGTCGTTTGGCGGGTCCGGGCTGGTGATTCGAACCTACCACCTTAGGTGTACGTGGCTGGCGCCTTAGCCGGTTGAGCTATAGGCGCCGAGCCAAAATAGTATGTTCTTGGCAATGAACATACTATTATGTTAGTTATGTAGTTAACATACGATTATGTTAGTTAGTAGTTAACTAATCAGGTTACAGAAGTTGAATGAAATCTTTTAAAATTTAGCTTTGCTAATTTGTATTCACTAAGGACTATAATAAAAGTTTCCTCAAGCCTAGTTTATACATAATTCAAAACAATTTTTTTCCTACAGAGTTTTATAATAATGTAAAATATTTTGTTTAAATGATTCAGAACTAAAGACTCAAGAAATTAAAGATGTGTTCAAAACATTCTCAACTTCTTAGTAATTTTTGTATGTTGTAGACCTAAGGTTAGGATATTATATACTGTAGGCTTTTTTTTTTTTTTGAGAGAGAGTCTCACTCTGTCACCCTGGGTAGAATGCCATGGCATTATAGCTCACTTCACCCTCAAGCTCTTGGGTTCAAGTAATCCTCTTGCCTCAGCCTGCCAAGTAGCTGGGACTATAGGTTCCTGCCATGACACCTGGCTATTTTTTTTTGAGAGACTGGGTCTCACTCTTGCTCAGGAAATTCACCCACCTTGGCCTCCCAGAGTACTACGTATATTTTAATATAGAGTAACTTTCCTCAGGTTACTACCATAAATCTATAAGGCTAGTGCCCCTACAGGTTAGGCACCGTATTCAGCCTTTACCCCCCCAGACCAGGGGTTCTTAACCAGAGGCAATTTTGTCCCTCAGAGAGCATTTGGCAATGTCTGAAGACATTTTTTAGCTATCAAATACTGCTAGCATTTAATGGGCAGAAGTCGGGGATGCTGCTGTATGTCCAATAATGAATAGGTAAACCCCTCACAACCAAGAATTATCCAGCTCAAAATGTCAATAGTGACACTCTGAGAAATCCTGATCCTACACAATTGTAACTGATGTTACAAAGATATTGGCAAAAATGGCTATTATTAAAATTTGTTTAGGTATTGTAGCTGAAAAACAGTTTTATATAAGAGGAAAAAGGAAGTCGTTCTGATGGATAGCTTAACCATTATTCTTTTAAACAGGGGACTTGTAGCAATTATATGAAATGTTATTCTCTCAAGCTATATGGCAAGAAATGTTAACATTTCCAAAATAAAACAATCATACCTTTTTAACTGCTATAATATATCCTTCTTCTTGAAACATTTTGAAAAATTCACACATGAATGTCTCTTTGAAACTTGACTAAGAAAAAAACACAGGATTTGTATGTGTTAAATAGGGAAGTAAGGATATAATAGATTGCATTTTTAATCTGAAGATTAAGGCCTAAAAGGATTCAATACTTCCACATAGTTACAGGGCTTGGAGCTGAAGACTTCTTGCAAAGCTGTTATAGATGATTGTGGCATAGACAAACAAATAAATAGATTACCCCTGCATCTTCTTAATACAGTGGCTCCCCTCTTAGCTTTATCAACTTAAATGAAACTGACCTCTTTAGAACATGACTAAGATGCTATAGCTACCTAAAAGACAGCTATTGTGTCTATATATATGTACTGGTCATTTTTGTTTTATTTTTAGAAGAAAGGATCATAGGATATAACAGCATTTAGAAGTGAAAAAATAAAAGATGTAAAGACTTACCTTGCTTTTGGATAGACTCCCCCAGCTTCCCAAGGTTTGAATGGTTTTTGAGATGAGAGTTAATGTTCTAACTGTCTGTGCATCCTAAAGAATGCAAAAAAGACCAAAACTCCTGTTAAGCTTTCAAGAAACATAATTTATATAGAAAGTAGAATAAATGGGTTACACTGCTATAAAATAGGGACTCAAAAATATGTATTCAAACTACCAACATAGTTAAATTCTAGCTAATGGTGGGTACAACTTACTTGTCTAAGGAATTAAGAGACTAAAGAAACTACATATAATTTGACAATTCTTCTCAAAATAATTTTACTTAATGATGTGTTACTTTTTAAGGCCATAATTCAATCAATATTACATATAAATAAGTTATCTCATACAGCATCACAACTTGGATTACCTGACAAATTATACTCACTTTTGGGATGTCAAAGGGATCTATCTATTTCTTCTTATAACTTAAAATGTGAATTTTAAGTTTTCTAAATTTTCTGTGTTCAACTCACCTTTAAGCAAATTTAATATTTATATGACTTAAGCAATCAGCTCTTGTCACTACAGAAGCAAAACCTAAATTCAGCTTAAAAAATGACAAGTCACCCAGTTCATACAGAATCTGATGGGAGGGGGTAACTATTTGTATCTATCATATAAGGTGTTTTTCAGGCTTGTCTACTTGAAAGAAGTAAATACAAATAAAATTACTAGATAGTGTTCCCTCATGAGTCCTTGTTCCTTCTTTCCTTTTCTTTATTAAGTTGAGGCATAATTTACAAACAGCGAAATAAACAGGTCTTAAATATATAGCCGTTTGAGTTTTCACCATATTAACTCCTCTATCAAGACATAGACCATTTTTCTTAGTTTAAGCGATTCATGTAAACAGTATCTTCCATATAAAGACATACCCAGAACTTAGAAGCAGAAAAGCATTAGTTTTTGGTAGCTGTTCCTTAATATGGGCAGAGAGTGGGTAGAGGAAGAGATGATGAGGATACAAGGCAATCTGGAAAAGAAGGACTATCTGGGACATGATCATTGTGATAATACTTAAATAGTTATATGCCTGAATTAAACTTATTCAGAAAATACTTTAGCTAGAACATCCAGGATTTCATTGTATCTCTAAAAAATCCCTACAGTTCTCTGCCTTTGAAGAATATAGAATTTTTAAAGATGTCCTCGTAAAGTGTACTTGAACTGAATTTCACCAAGACTTCTCTTTTCAAATTTTTCTCCCATCATGATTTTTCACGGGTGACTCTCCCTTACACAGATGACCAGGACCATAGTCATCTGGCACCTACTACATGGCCTGGCACTGGTACCCAGTAGATGCTATGTAGCATTTATTAAATTCAACTGAAATGTTCAATTTTTCACCTCAAAATAACTCGGCATACATTCACATGTCCTATTTTTTCCTTATATGAGGTCAAAGCACATGAAATTGCTTGGCTATTTTTTGATCAAAACAAAACCATTTCACATGGTTCATGTGATTCAAAGGAGCATTCTTTTTAAGGTTAACCCCATTTACTTTTCTTTTTTAGGTTAACCCCATTACTTTTTCTTTTAAAGACACTCTTTCTGCTGGGTACAGTGGCTCATGTCTATAATCCCAACTACTCAGGAGGCTAAGATAGAAGGATTGCTAGAAGCCAGGAGTTCAAGACCAACCTGGGCAACACAACAAGACCCCCAACTCAAAAAAAAATTAGCCCCCACGGCGGTGCCCCCTTATATTCCTAGCCACTCAGGACACCAAGACAGAATGATTGCTTGAGCCCAGGAGTTTAAGGCTGCACTGAGCTATGACTGTGCCACTGTACTCCAGCCTGGGCATTACAAAGAGATGATGTCCCTTAAAAAAAACAAAAAGCAAAAAGACATTCTTTCTGAATCCTTCAGGATATCAATTTGGTATTAGCAAGCATTCTCCTCTATTTAATTTCTCCCTTTCTGCTGGACTCTTTCCCTCCATTCATAGGTTTTCTCCACTTCGGAAAGATTCATCATTTGACAAGTCCCCTCTCTGAGCTACTACCTTTCATTCATCATTTACTAAGTATCTACTTATCCTAAAATCCGTAACGCAATCCACAGACAAAGATTATACACAGATAGTTATAAAACAGTAAGACAAATGCAATGACAGAGAGGCCACAGGATGGTATAAGCATACATTAAGAGAAGCATATAACCCACACTAATGGGTTAGAAAAGTGTGTCTTGGCTAGTCATAAAACGGATTATCAATGAGAGATGGGGGACATAATGAGAAAGATAGTTCTATCCTTTTGCTTTTTTCACCATGAAACTTCTTAAAGAAGTGGTCTACCATGTTAATGTTAACATAATCCATATTTTAAATTAATATTTAAAAAAAATTATTAAATAGTTTGGGCACTGTGGCGGGCACCTGTAGTCCCAGCTACTTGGGAGGCTGAGGCAAGAGAATCACTTAAGCCCAAGAGTTTGAGGTTGCTGTGAACTGTGATGCCACGGTTGACAGCTTGAGACTTTGTCTCCAAAATAAGTAAATAAATAAATAAAATAAAATAATTATTCATTCATGCATGTATATGTGCTTTAATTTGCCCATGTCTTTTCAGAGTAGGATAGACTCACTTTCGATATGCAGTAGAATCTCTGTAAGTTGACAACCCGAGAGACTGTAACAAACTCGGTCAACATACTGAGGAGGTCAAAATAAGGAACTAGGCCTACTGCACTGATATATACATATGGTACATGTCCAGTCTATGAAAATTAGCCAATTTAAGGAAGCGGTCAACTACAGAGGTTCTTCTTACGTAAAACTGCATTTACCTACTTATGCTTAAAGCTTCCATAATCTGATATTCTTCTCTACTAAACTGGCTTCTCAAAATTCAAAGAATATATACATATAAAATCTAAAAACCAGCTTGGTGCCTGTGGCTCAAGTGGCTAAGGAGCCAGCCATATACACCTAAGGTGGCAGGTTCAAATACAGCCTGGGCTGCCAAACAACAATGATAGCTGCAACCAAAAAATAGCCGGGCATTGTGGAGGGCGCCTGTGGTCCCAGCTACTTGGGAGGCTTGCTTGAGCCCAGGAGTTGGAGGTTGCTGTGAGCTATGATGTCACAGCACTCTACCCAGGGGGACAGCTTGAGGCTCTGTCTCAAAAAAAAAAAAAAAAATCTAAAAAAATCTAAAAACTATAATCAGTTATCTTTCCCAAATACTCTGTAACTTTCACTACTGGTCTTGACAATGTTATCACCTCCAGGTCACTGGGATTGTGGCCAGTTTCTCTGGTATGAACTGTTACTCCTTACTTGGTACTAATCAGGTTGGTAGTTTTGTTTCTTAAAAATTTTTTCAATGTGTTGAAATTATCTTCTATTTTTATTTATAAATATTAGTTGTCTATTTTTTGAGACTTTGGAAAGAAAAAAAGAAGTTAACTGATGACTCCAAACTGAACCTCAGAGTCAAAGCATTCTATGGTACACATACTCTTATCTGACAATGTGAATGTTACTTTCTTTGCATTATTATTATTATTGTTCAATATTTTGTTGCAGCAATCATCTGATTTCTTTTCTGAATGTATTTATCTTCGTTGGTTCTCTATGAGGTTTTTGCTTCTAGTCCTTATCTAAACATTGTTATTGTTATTAAATTTTAAGCCTTTTTAATTTTGTGAAGGCAGAAAGTGGAAACCAAATAAACACAGGTATAAGAAAAAATAAACTAAATAAAAAAATTTTTTTTCAATGTAAGCAAGTACTAGTTTTAGATTTATGTATGTAGTTCTAGATCATTCATTGAATGTCTTTGTCCCAGTTCCCCAATTAGATTGAAAGGTTCTTAAAAAGCAGAGCTAAAAGTAAAGAAAAATCAAGCAAGATTATATGACAGTTTTGAAGTAGTCCTTCTGGCATACTGACTGGAAAACAGTGACCTCAAATACAGTTTGTGGGTAGAAGGATTTTATTTCAACATCTGATAGAGGAATATGCAAATCTTAGTCTGAAAACAAAGCAAAGTCGTAAGTTCAGAGGTGGGAGTTCTGTTTATGTCAAGAATGCTGCTACTAAACTTTCATTACTCTGGAGTTCTGTACAGCTTTAGTAACTTAACAACAGAAAAGACAGCCTTGTGAACAAAAAGATATTAGCCCACTCTGTGCTGTGGCTACTCAAAGACCATGTATCCTTTGGCAAGAAAGGGTGGGCTGCTGCTACTGCAACATGGTTCTACTCAGTGCTCACCAGTTAAATGAGTGGTAACGCTGTGCAGCTGTTAAGAGGATGAGCAGGCACTCAGAAACCAGTCTAAAATCCACGTGTCTTCCCTATACTATATTATTCAATGAGTGACTCCTCTTTACTGAGAGTTTCCTAAGGGTAGGGAGTATCTTAATCATTATTAAATCTCCAGTGCTGAGCACAATATTTGATACATTATGGGTACTTGAATATCCGCATGTGAAAGAAGCTGGAAGGAATCTTAAGCTCACAGACTGTGGAGACTGAGTTAGAATCCCAGTTTAATCCAGTTCAAATGAAATAAAATCAAATTATAATTATTGGTTGCATGAGCTTGATTTTTGTTATCTGTAAAAGGGGATGATGACAGACTTTACCACATAGGATTACTAGGAGGACTAAATAAGTTAAAATGTATTAAGTAGTTGGAACAAACCTGGTACTTAAGTGCTAAATAAATGTTGGCTACTATTATCTGTTATACAAATTAGCAACTAAAACAATTACCTAATATTATAAAATATTTGGGACATAAAAGTTTAAAGAATCTGCAAAAATATACTATATGAGTAGAAATCTCATTTACATATATAGCAAAAATACTAAAGAATTTTAAAATATTAAAAAATAAACATGTAAATCTATGCAATAGAGATTTCGATTTCAGTAATGAAACAGGACTTCAGAATAAAAAGATTATATATGCTTTAAAAAATTTAAATCTCATATATTTATAGTGTCACCTCAGGGGAATAAAAAGTAATATGGTGATATTAAACAAATTATATTCTAATAAAAGTTTCTATATATTTTAAAAAAGAGCCACTTCAAATTTCTGTGAAATTTAAAAATATCTGGCTCGGTGCCTGTGGCTCAAGTGGCTAAGGCGCCAGACACATACACCTAAGGTGGCGGGTTTGAATCCAGCCCAGGCCCACCAAACAACAATGACAGCTGCAACCAAAAAATAGCCAGGTGTTGTGGCAGGTGCCTGTGGTCCCAGCTACTTGGGAGGCAGAGGCAGGAGACTTGCTTGAGCCCAGGAGTTGAGGTTGCTGTGAGCTTTGATGCCACAGCACTCTACCCAGGGGGACAGTTTGAGGCTCTTGCCAAAAAAAAAAAAAAAAAAAGAAAAAAAATTTTAAAATGTCTGTCTGCAAGGTTAAATTGTTTTAGTTAATCAGAAAAGCAGATTCTGTTTTTAAAAAGGCTAAATCTATCACTAGTATTGACTTGTATCCCTTGTATTATAGGAATTTAAAAACATACATAATAGTAGAGGAACAAATACAACAAATCTCCTTTGTATTCATCACCAAACTTTAATAATTAACATTTTATCACTTGTGTAATATTTTTTAACAATAATAAAACCCAGAATTTTTTAGCCTCATCTGAAAGACTAAAATGGCCAGGAGAAAGGCTGAGTAAATTTAAGTATCAGTTTTAAGAAAACAAAGCCAAGTAAAATTGGCTTATCTTTTCTTTTTTTCATTCTAATAAAAATGGAATAAAGCTTTGAGAAGAACAAACACTTACTGGATGATGAGGTCGCAAATGAAAAGTATGAGGTGATACTACGGCTACAGCAAAGAAACGAAGAAATACAAAGCTGCTCACTGCAGAATATTGAACATGAGGGTCATCTGCAGGAAAAAAATTGTGATATGTCATGCACAAAAATATTGAATCAAAAAACAAAGATGATGAAAGTAAAAAGTATCAAAAAAAAGTGAGCTAAATAGGAGAGCGATATAATTTGTCTAGCAAGAATTGAGTTGAAGAAATGATAGAAATAATTATGACTAAATTAAAAGAAAAACCCTATGGTAAAACAAATAAATAATAAAGAAAGTAAAACGCAAAGCTGCTAGGTTTCCAGAAATATTTTAACTTGAAAAACACTTCTTTCCTCATCTGCAAGAAGGGACTCCTAAAATTACAACAAAAATAAAAGCAGTATGTAGCACTACCTAGTGGTAACACTGAATCCCTTAAGACTAGGATATAGGATTGTCTTCACTTCTACAGCATTTCAGTTTTCCTCTCAAAATCTTGAGACTATCAAAGGTAATGCAATAAAAACAGTCAGGCGGAAATTTTACTTTAAAAAGCTGTCAACATTCCATATAAAAATGCAGATGAACTGAAGACTTCTTGTGGCCTTGATCATTCACCTACAGCCTTCCTTTTAGACTGGAGTCAATGCTTAACCCAACAATCGAATGGTAAACAAGCAGATGGTAAAGGGAAGAATCTCTGCGTTTGGTTTGAGCTTTAACTCTTATAAGTCTTTCAATAGGTAACCATCAACAAGTCATTTAATTTGTCATTCTTTAATATTTTCTTTTCACCAGCTGCCTATTCTTACCCCAGTTTACCTCCATCTTCCCAGGGTGGTAAGAAGAACAAATGAGAAAATAGAAATATTTTATGGCAACACAACAGCCACTACTGTAGTCTACAAAGGATATGAAGACATTAATATTTAAGCAAAAGACAGTTAAGGAGATACATTCGCATTTATAAAAAAACCATAAAGTATGTTTTAAGTCATTTATATAAACAAGAATTTAAAAGCTAAAGTAGATTTATGGCCAAGATCACTCGTTAGTATACGAGTGTTCTGGAGTAGACCAAACTCAAGTTTGAGACCCAGCTGGCCATGTCATGGATCTTAATTAAGTCACTCAACTTCTCCAAACCTTAGTTTATTATCTACCTAATGGAAGTAATAACTACCTTATGTGGTGCTGTGAAGATGAAAGTAGAAGATAATGCAGGCTGGCATTGTGCCTCTTCCCTTATGTAGTAGTCAATGGGTTATCATGATCTATTTAAAAATATAATTTCAATCGGTACTTCACCTTTGCTCCCTTTATTTTTGTTATGAAGACTAGATTTAGTACACTTACAGGTATTTAAAATTAACTAAATCTTTACTATAATTAGCAAAGACATTTAGATCTTAATTTATCTACTTTAGTACTGGGTAAATTTTTTTTTTTTT